ACAGTAAAAAATATTTTAAAAAATAAAGTTCATGTAAGGTTAGAAGAATAAAGACAGTTACAAAATTGAGGAAAWATATAGTCAAAACTATACTTACAGAACACTGAGGCTATCTCAAGTTCAATAACAAGGGACACAGTAAACAAAACAATAAGAACTTCCAGAGATTGGCTTGAAACTTCAGTTTTCTATAATATAAAAAATGGCATTTTAAGTGCTTTATAAAATTGCCCTTAATATTTTTATTCTGTAAGAAGTATTTTTGCATGGCTTAGTGGTTTGTTGTTTAAAATGCATGCATTATAATTCCTCCATAAATCCTAAAGGACCCAACAAAACAAAAAAAGAAACCAATGAGAAGATGCTTCACATAAAAAGGGGAGAAAAAAAGCCCAATTGTGGCCATTTTAATAAAACAAATCCTTAATTTGTTTGGGTGAACTTTCATATATAAATCAATGCAATGAGTGCAGAAACAGCAGTTTGATGTTAATAAATTCTACAGGGATGGCAGACTTCGTATTCTTAGGATGCTTTCTATAAAATACAAAAGGTTCTGTATTGTTCTGTTTTGTTTTCTCATTAATATAGAGGTGACAACACATTAAAGGAAATAAAATGTAGAAAGGGTTAGAATGTTTCCATTGTATGGTAGAAACAAACCTAAAGAATTTGCTACATATATATGGTAGGAAAGCCTTCAATGACTCAATTTATGCTTTGAAATCATAATGCACGGCAATTAATTGTGAAAGAGTTGTAGAGTAATGATGGAATATACTGATTTGTAATGGATTAGATTTTTGGATATTTTAGACAGCAAAAGCTAAGGAAAAGCATACATGTTTACATCTGAATAGAATAAGATGTCATTGCCTAAATTAATAATGCAAACTTGAAAAATAGCCCCGGGTTCAAAAGACCAATTATAAAATTCTTTTGTAAACAAATCTATATTCACATTTTTCATGGATAACAACTAGTATTTCTCTACTAATGTTCAACTTATAAAAGGAGAAATACATTTTCAAATAAAATTTAAATATTAATGATTCAGTTTCTAGTGATGGCAACTTACCTGCAAATAAGGGTCAATAATGACAAAGACAGGTATACTATGGGAACAGTTTTTATCTACCTATATGAAGTAAAAATCTAAATGGGAAAAATTATTTAAAAATTTTTGGAAGATATCAATAAGGTAAATATGACCCTATCTTTTCAGGAAATGAGTGATAATCTATGACACTAATACTCAAAATGACAGCAAAATGACACATTTCCTTGGTTAAAGGAGGCAGGCGTGGGACCTTTTTATTCTATGCACTTACTACATGCTTACTTTAAAATCTTGTTCTTAACAACAAGAAAACAAAGGTATCTCTTCTAATTTCTATATTGTGTTCGCAGTCCCTAACTTCAAAAGAATTCTTATACTCGAAAGCTCTTAAAGAACTAACTTGTCTTTTGTTCCTTAGTAAAAAGCAAACTTAATTACATATACACRAAATTATAAAAATTATTAAATAGAAAGGGCTCAAACTATTTACTTCTAGCAATAACAAAATTATTCAAAAGTTATAAAAATAGAAATCACCTTCTTAATAAGGACATAAGTATTTCAAAAGGAGATCTGGTAGTTATCACTTTATCAAGTGTTCTAAGTATTAATTCGCAGGACGGCAACGAAATGCTTAGAGAACATCATCTCCTGTTTAACTCAACATCTGACAGAGGTATAACATAACTGCAGTCCAACCAGCTCAAAWGCATTACTATATGCGAGTGCTGCTCTCTGTTTGGGACAAACTGCATAGGGCACAATACTATGACCTAGAACTTCGAAAAAAGTACAGTGTTCTTTCAAACCATGGAAAGCTGAAATATTTGTAAATGAATTTTGCACATAAACACCAAGACACTATCAAAACAGTACTGATCTTATTTTAAAAAAATCATAATCTTTCTAGCAGTACTATAAAAAGTCTTAATCATAAATTTTAGAAATGTATTCTAAAAAAGTCATGGATATGCAAGGTATGAGCATTTTGAAAATAAATACCTGAAAATGGTGTTCATGTCCCAAAACTTAATAAATTCATTGCAGTATGTGTAACTTGGGACCACACAGGCATAACAATTATATTACATAAGAATGCTTTTTCAAGTTAGACATTTTGAAGCCTTAAAATATTTCAGCAATTATCCAAGAACTGATTTTAGATTTAATAAATTTTAAATTAATTCAAAAACTGTAAAAACCTATTTCGACTGTATTATAAATAATATTTAAGCATGCTAAATACTTTCAGTACATCAAAACTCCAAATTAACTCACTGAAAGGTGAAGAAACCTGCAACCAGGCTAAAACATGCACCAGAGAGGACAGCAAAAACACAGGCGAATATTTACCACTTAACCAAGTGCTAGGCACTGGTGAGGTAACTTCAACGTGTATCTGGCTTGATATGCACAAGGATCCCAGAAGGCTGGTCAGCTAACAATCCATATTTTACAAATGAAAATGTGGTAGCCTAGGAGGTTAAAGAGTTTGACTGCACTGGGTTTAGTGGCGCTCGCCTATAATCCCAGTGACTCAAGAGACTGAGAAAGAAGAACAAGTTCTAGGCCAGCCTCAGCAACTTAGCCAGACCCTGTCTAAAAATAAAAAATTAAATAAAAAAAAGGATGGKGATGTAGCTCAATGTTACAGTACCCCTGAGTTTAATCCCTAGCCCTCCAACAAAAAAGAGTTTGATGGAAGTCCCCAGGTAAATGTGTACTGAGTCCAGATCCTGCAGACACCCTGTGCTCTGAATCACACCCTCAGRCTATGAGCCTAGCACATAGTAAAGGCAGAAACTGGATGTGCAAGCTAATTCTGTAGCAGCTACCATGAATTAACTTGCCATATTTTAAACTTCAGATTTTAACTATGAAGACTACTTTTAAATGGTAAATACCACTTGTTTATTTTGTATGTGTGGTTTTCTTTATAATCATGTTTGAAGGARTGATTTTGGCTACTTTAAAAGAAGTCTTAAAACCATAGTTCTAGGAGCTGTGGTTGTAACTCAGGGGTAGAGTGCTTGCCTAGTATGAGTGAGACACTGGGTTGGATTCTTAGCACTGCATATAAATAATAAATAAATWAATTAAAGATATTGTGTCCATCCACAAGTAAAATTTAAAAAATAAAATAAAATAAAACCATAGCTCTATAGAAGACTGGTTCCTGGCACAGAAAAATAGTAATAATATTAAGTATAAGAATTTATACTGCAAGAAAGCAAAAATTCCCCCCAAGACAACAACAAAAAATCTTATACATAGAGTACAGACTAAAAGCACATAGTCTTAAGAGTAAGTGATAATTAAGGGAAATTTTTATAATTTTCTTATTGCTTTTTTKGTTTTACACGGAAGGCAACTGCAGAACGCTCTCTGTAATAAAAAAAAGTCATGTTTATTTTTATTATAGAGCACACTATCAGCACCTTAGAATTTCTATTGTCAGTACCCTAGAACCTCTAATTAGATCACCATTTCCCCAAATTTATAAGAAATACCAATCTAGTGTTACACAAAACCAGAATCCATAAAATGTTGAATGAATAAATAATTAAAGAATGAAATATATCTGTAATATCTCTGTACTATTCTATGACCTTTCACATAAAACTTAATGCAATAATATGGCTGATGATAGAGATTATGGCAATATATTTGCTGAATGCACAGGCTACATTCACAAGAATACAAAAACCTACTTTTTAAAGAAGGCTTGATGTTCAACATATACATTTTAGTATTCAACAGAAATGGCTGCATTTGAAGACACAGCCCCGATGTCTTCTTATTGATATGCCTGGCAGTGACAGTGAAGTCTTCAGTCCAAGGCTGAAGATGGTGTCCTTCAATTGCCTGCCAACTGCATGGTGTCTCAGCTTACCTTTGGGCTCCATGAGCAGCATGGCCTGGCTGCAAGCTCCATGCCCCAGTGTACCTTCCACCAGGCCTCTCTTTGTGTGCCTCGTCATAGAGAATTACTGCTGTCACTGAGTACTTCTGTGCTCTGGCGGATACAACTCAGCTGCGCCAGACCCAGTGCAAGGACTGAGCATCCATAAACTCCAAGATGCCTTCAGCATAAAATGCTACATGTGCCATCAACTACTCATCTGAGAACATACATCATGTACTTGAAATTTTGTCACCTTTCCTGCCATAGGCAAGATGCTCTCTGCTCTGTAGGGATTTTATCTGGGCTCAATGTGGTCCTTCTCCATGTTCTCTTCTGCTCTCTCTTTTACTATTTGAATATGTATTATAATTACTTGTGAAAACGAAGTCACCAATTACGTTGTAATGTCCTTAAAGGYAGAAAACACTTTTTATATCATCTTCCATTCTCAGTGAGTGCTTTTCTCACAGCAGATGAGATGCCATACACATATCAAATAAAGGAATGAGCAAGAAAACCAGAAACCTGGGTGTAACAAAGGATTGTTTGAAAACTAAGTATTAAGACTACAAAAATGTAAAAGAACTTTATACTTTGAACAGTCACTAGAACCTAAATGAYGCTCTAATGGTGGATACATGTCATTATAAATTTGTCCACACCCACAGGATGCATAACACYCTCAGTGAACCTGACTAAAATCTATTAGCTTTGGGTGATGAGAATGTGTCTGTGGAGGTTCATCAACTGTAAAAAGCAGATCACGTTGTTGGGGATATAGATAATGAGGAAGTCTCTCATGTGTAAGGGAAGAAGATATTTGGAAAATCTCTGTACCAACATTTCACTTTTACTGTGAACCTAAAACTGATCTTAAAAAAAAAGTCTATATTTGAAAAGTCACTAAAATTAGGTACTATAATAAACACCTAACCTAATATGCCTTATGCTTTAAAGTATGCTAATTCATGTTGATCTTTTATTGATTTATTCAACAGGATCCAATTGTCACAGAAACCCGTGTGGCCTCATTACCTGTAGTCACACCAGGGGCACCTGTAGGGTTTCTCTCCAGTGTGCACACGCTTATGCCGAGTCAAATGGGACTGGGTTGTGGAGGCAAAGTTACACTCATCACATTTGAAAGGTTTTTCTCCTGTAACATAACAAGAAATGTTGTACATGAATAATAACAACTGGTATTGATGATATAAAAAACTTATTTCCATAAAATGTTTAATAATATCATTCAATGGATTCCATGCATTTAAGATACTTGAACAATTATTCTCACTTTCAGTGTGAGAAAGTTAGAACTTTTGTTTCTATATTAAAATATAAGCAAAAGGCTGAAGATTTATACGATTTGAAGAGAAACCAGAGTATAGAATATAAGCACAGAATATAGTATATAGTTAAAGTATATCTTTTACCAGTAGGAATCTAAATCATCTGTAGAGAAGAACCATATCAAGAATGATTTAACAAACTATGTTACATTAAGGCAATTATAAAAATCTCAGGGAGGTTAAACCATGGAAAAGAATAAGATGTAGACATGCTMTGAATATAGAATGTAAAATTTATTAAATTCTTAGCATTAAATATGTATAAAAATAAATAAAATCAAGCTATAAATGGACACTACTTTTAAACTTAAACCTACCAACCTAGGAAGAAACAGCTAGAACAACCACACAAAGAGCGAAGCTGCAAGGCCAGAGGGGACCAGAGGCTCTGTTCACTGGACAGCCTTCCTTCCTACCCACACTCCCCCTCACAMGTACAAGGAATCACCCAGGTTCACCAGACTTTCACTCTACTAGTAACACTGASAGTGAGCACCTGAAACACAGTTATTGAATTTTAATTAATGTAAATTTAAATCTAAAAAATATTACACTATCAGCATTGAAAAGTGTTCAAAATGCACTGGAATAACTTGGGAGTATAAATCTATTTTTATTTGGGGAGGGCAGGTACCGGGGACAACTCAGGAGCACTCAACCACAGGGTCACATCCCCAGCCCTATTGTGTATTTTATTTAGAGTCAGGGTCTCACTGAGTTGCTTAGTGCCTTGCTTTTGCTGAGGCTGGCTTTGAACACAAGATTCTCCTATCTCAGCCTCAGGAGCCTCTGGGATTATAGCCATGSGCCACGTGGCCTGGCTATGAATCTACTCTTTGAAGTATTTTTATCAAATCTGAATACAGATAATATATTGCAGGTGATAATTTACCCTCTGAATKGAGAAGTGCCAGACGCATCAAATATATATCAAATTTCCATTTTTATTTATTTTTTTCCTTTTTGGTACTGGGGATTGAACCCAGGGCRCTTAACCACTAAGCTATATCCCCAGCCCTTTTTTCTATATATTTGTTTGAGGCAGGGTCTCACTAAGCTGCTAGGGCCTTGATAAGTTGCTGAGGCTGGCTTTGAACTCGAAATCCTCCTGCCTCAGCCAGTGGAACTGCTRGGAATATAGATATGTGCATTATGCCTGGGCCAATTTCAAAATTTTTAATCCCAAATAATAAAATACTGCTGGTTATRTTATAATAAGTTCATGTGGAAATAATAATTTGTATATGTTTGGTTAACTACAGAAATAAAATTTTACCTGTTCCTTTACTTTTTTCTTAATATGGCCACCAGGAAACAAAATTATACATGTGCAGTTCATATTACACTCCTACTGGACAGTGACAATCTAAAGAAATCCTCATGTCCCTATCCCCCAGAAAAAATTAATATGTAGTAATAGTCTTTAAAACAGAGGTTCTTTCTGACAAATTTCACATACATCATAAATTAATTTTATGTTTCTCCATAATTTGACTTGTTGCCTCTCATTTTCAGGTTGTTGTGATGGCTTTRTAAGTATACTGATTTACTTAGAAAATGAAGGATCAAGTATCTTGTCATACAATCACATCTACTTGCCTATCATCAAACGTATACAATTATATCTATTTGCCTATATGTGTTCCTGAAATGACAATGTTTAGAAATTCATCCCACATGCTTCTTTATTATGGCCTTCCTTAAAGCTGTGGATCACTCACTTATCCATAAACATCTCGCTTGATGGCATTTTCTAATGCAGCACAGTGGCATGGCTGGATGATGCCAGATGGGCTTCAATTTCAATCTGTTTTTGTCATATCTTGAACAAACTACCTGTCAGACTTCTTGAGAAAGATCAGAAAGGGAATACCACCAAAACACAGGGCACCTATCGGGATTAAGATGGCAAAAAACACAGAAAAAGCACACTTAGCAGAGTGTGCAGTGACCAGTTGCTCTTATTACTGTGAGAGCACTGCTGACCTTGGTTAAGTGCATGGACTCTCACAGAGAAGAAAGAAGGAGCACACAAGTGGCTCTCATCAAGAGTCAGAACCAGTAAACAGATAAGCAGTTAGCACACAGAAAAAAATTAATGGGTTTGCATAGTAAGGGAACATGAAACAAACGTATAATTTAATGAATCCTGTCAGGAAATATTTCTGTTTGACTTATTCTTGTTGGAAGGAAGGAAGGAAGGAAGGAAGGAAGGAAGGAAGGAAGG